GGCCACTGCCTCCGGCTCGTTCCCCATCATGTCCCCGGCACCCAGCCACTGCCTGGCACACAATGAGTGCCCAATACATAAATGGACGAATGGCCTTATTCTCTAACACACCAGCACATGCAACAACATCAACACAGACAGAAACAAGCTTTGCAGGTGAAATACAACATGAGAATGCTGCTCAACTGGTCTGAGAAAGAGTGATTTAAAAAATCAGGGACAGCTTGAATCTGTGTGCTTCTAGAGGGCTTCAAGTGACCCGTGAGATTTATATCAACAATCCTAGTTGAAGGACGAAGGAAGGAAGCCTCAGGAGAATTTTGTGAGGATTAAAGCGATCATGTATGTAAAGCCACCTGCCACAATGCCTGAGATGCAGTAAGAGCTTTTAAACCAGTCGACAGGCACCCTCTCTTCTAGTGAGATGGCAGATTCAGGCCCAGAACACAGGGTTTCCATTTCCTGGCCTTTGACACCATCCTAAGGCAGACTTGACATCCTTAGGGCAGCAGGCACCCACCTTAGGAAGATCACAGCTACTCCTCGGCCCCCATCTTACAAGGGATCGAGGAGGGCGTTGCGCCACATGATTAAAGCCATCAGTGCTAACTAAATACTGGAGGAAGAACCTGGAAACCATGCAAGGGTTACGGGCAACACATCCTCTGTGTGATTGCCACAAGGTCCTCGCGCTGATTACCTGCTGGAGACTCTTTCACCAAACAAATAACAAACAAAATGAGGCTCCTAAGACCCGAGGACTGAAGTGCGAGCCCTCCTAGAACCTAGATACAGCTGCTCAGAGGGACCACGATTACTGGTCAAACTTCTCTTCCCGATAACAAATGCATCACTGACTTACCATGAGCCATTGTGTCAATGATAAATAATACTTGTGGCCCCCGTGGTTGATGGGGCTTGAATCGGTGCATCATTTTGAGGTGCAACCCGTTTTTTTGGGGGGGGGGCTGATCTGACCTTTTTTGAGATATTTGAGAAAAACTGAAATGATTCAAGTAGCACCCATTTTCTTATGGGTCGTACTTAGTTCACCCTTTCTTCTCTGCGCTTTCCTTGTACCTTCCTTCCAAGGATGCAACTGGCCTGCCCATTGGCCTTCAGGTAGGTGATGTAGATCCCGCCCACATGGGCTGAGGCAAGGCGCTTGGACTCACTGAGGTTTAGTTTCCTCGACTGTAGAATGAAAAACTAACCGTACTTCACAGACCTTACTTCGCAGACTAAAGGAGGTGACATTTGGGGACACGATGAATTGTCCCCGCACAGAATTGACCAAGTAGGTTTCCTCATGGCTGTAAGGTTAACAACACGGTAGACTGTCTGTTACACTTACCCCTTTGGTCACTTTTATCGATTTTTTAGGTCTGGTTGTATTGACACTGGTTGTCCCTGTACTTTCCACATGGGCTACAATGGTCTGTTGAGTCCCAGAGAGTCACGTTTATGTAGAAATGCCTCACTGCCTGCCATTTTGTGTTCATCTCATCACCCAGCTCTCCTCCACTCTCACCGAAGGCTCAGTGCCTCTCCTGCCTACACCCCCTGGTCTCTACCTGGAAAGCTCTCCTCCCTCCTGCCTCTCCCCTGGGGCTGCTTCCCTTTCATTCACTAACACATATTTATCGCTTCAGATGTTGGGGATGTGACAGCGAACCAAACAGAGTCCCTGCTCTCAAGGAGCTGGCATTCAGTGGGCAGGGGAGGGAAGAGCAGGTAATAAGTAAATAAATCTCTCATCTGCCAATGGCTTGTAGAGTTATAAGGAAGAGTAGAGCTTGATAAGGAGATAAGGTAATTTAGGTTTAGTTGGGAAGTGGTCTCTGAGGAAAGGGCCATCTGAACATAGTCCTGAAGGACATGTGGCGGGAATCTTGCAGAAAATCTGGGAGAAGGTTTTCCAGGGAGAAGGAACAGCAAGTGCAAAGGGCCTGAGGCAGAGAAGGGCTAAAATACGCCTTCCTGAGAGAGCTTTCCTTGATGGCCCACTTTAAAATGTGTTCTCTCTGTTTTGGGACACACCATTCTTTTTGGAGTGTTTCTCTCCATTTGTGTGTTCTATCGTAACATGTAATTTAATGAGTCTCCCCCTCTGGATTATAAACTCCATGATGGCAGGCATCTTGTCTGTTCCCGTTTTCCTTTCTTTGTGTATCGAGAAGTTACCCTCTTGTCTGATATTTAAATAGTTATTGAATGAATCGATAAATTTAAAATGGTTATTAATGGCATTGTTCAGTAGATCGCTTACCCAGTGTAATTTTTTTAAGTTTACTTATTTTGAGAGAGAGAGAGAGAGAGAGAGAAGGAACAAGTGGGGGAGGGGAAGAGAGAGGGAGAGAGAGGATCCCAAGCAGGCTCCATGCTGCCAGCGCGGAGCCCAAAGCAGCACTCAATCTCACGAACCAAGAGATTGTGACCTGAGCTGAAAATAAAAAGTCAAATGCCTGAACCACTCAGGTGCTCCTCACACAGTGTAATTTTGCCTCAAGTGAGAATTTTCTTTTAAACATCAGTACTAGGGGGTGTGCCTGGGTGGCTCAGTTGGTTAAGTGTCCAACTTTGGCTCAGGTCATAATCTCATGGTTCGTGGGTTCGAGCCCTGCATCGGGCTCTGTGCTGACTGCCAGCTCAGAGCCTGGAGCCTGTTTCAGTCTGTGACTCCCTCTCTCTCTGACCCTCCCCTGCTCATGCTGTCTCTCTTTCTCTCTCTCCTAGAAATAAATAAAACATTAAAAATTTTTAAAAAATCAGTACATAGGGTGGGGTGAGGGGAGTTTCCCCACAAGTACTGGCACTCTTCTTTCTTCCAGCCAATGAGCATAAATTGAGTACAATACATCCATTTCTGTTTTGCATGCAAGGAATTTTACGTTCAGTAAAGATAATTCAGTTAACATTTGGCATTGGCATATTTACCTGTGCTCTTTTTCTTAATGATGAGATTGTACTTGTATTCTTTCACTGGATTTCTCTTTTGTGTAATTTGATTAAGATACAAACAAAAAAGAGTGATATTTAGGAAGAACCGAAGAGAGGGGAGGGGAGGAGAGAGGAAAGAAAATATATTCCTCTTCAAGATATAGCTTGTCACTGCTTTGCAAGTTAGGATTGAAAATGTAGCTAGCTCATGCTTTCAGTGTAATGGTAGCTGCCTGTGACTGGTGTTTGACATTATCAGGACACAGGCTAAGTATTTTTACATGCATGTTCTCATTAAATTCACAACAGGCTACAGAATCGTTATCAATAGCGCCATCTTCTAGATAAGTACATTAAGGCTCAAAGAAGTTAAATAGCTTGGCCTTAAAACAGAAAAAAGAAATGAGTGGCTTCCAATGGTCTGGAGAGGGCTGTCAGAATTAAATCCTGATTGTTGTTATTTTTTTAAATTTTTTTTATGTTTTATTTCTAGCAGAGAGAGAGAGAGAGAGACAGCGCGAGCAGGGGAGGGTCAGAGAGAGAGGGAGTCACAGACCGAAACAGGCTCCAGGCTCTGAGCTGGCAGTCAGCACAGAGCCCGACGCGGGGCTCGAACCCACGAACCGCGAGATCATGACCTAAGCGAAAGTCGGACGCTTAACCGACTAAGCTACCCAGGCGCCCCAAATCCTGATTGTTTTTATCCTGCCTCCCCTCAAGCTTTCTTTCAGCCTCACACTACCTACTAGGGAGAGGTGTGCCCCTCCAAGAGTGATCATTACCTCCCCCAAGGCCATGATGGGGGTTCTTTTTCTTTTCTTTTTTTTCCTGAGAGAGAGAGACAGCATGAGCAGGAGAGGGTCAGAGAGAGAGGGAGATACAGAATTTGAAGCAGGCTCCAGGCTCTGAGCTGGCTGTCAGCACAGAGCCGGACGCAAGGCTTGAACCCACGAACCGTGAGATCATGACCTGAGCCGAAGTCGGATGCTCAACCGACTGAGCCCCGCAGGCGCCCCCACGTTGGGGGTTCTTAATCAACATCCATTATCCTCTGACTGCGACAACCCTGGAATGCAGATACATCCCATGGTCTTTATTTTTAAGGGCATTTTTAAAAATAGCAAAAGAATGCATGACACAGATGTAAACTGGCAAGTAGGGTGGTGGGAAGCCACTCAGACCTGCGCTAAAAAAAAAAAAAAAAAAAGTGATAATGAATTCAGTGTTGGCAATTCTCAGGAAACTGTAAGAAAACACCTAGGTGTTCCAACTGGTCCCAGTAAAGAACCAGACCTCTCCTTGCTTTCACGGTGCAGTCGGGTGTTTCTGGGTGCTGCTCCCAGCTACGGGGCTCAGGCACCTCCGGGCAATCTCCGGGACGCAGGATTCCGGGCTGTGGGCCCAAGCGAGAGGGGCGGCTCCTATGCACACGCACACACATACACTCGCACACCACACGCGGTCACAAAGCACAGATGGACACACAGGCTCGGCACTTACACAGAAGCGCGCACCTACAAACATCTACCTCACCCAGTCACCCACATCACACCACAACAAGGCGCACGCGACTTCACGCCTCGCCCACTCATGCACGCAAACCACACACGAGCCGGCACACGCTCGCGCACACGCTCGCACCCCGGGCACACACCCTCTTGCGCGCGCCCAAGCCCTGGCTCACCGGCACGCGCGCGCGCGCACACGCTCACGCCCCGCGCACACACCCTCTTGCGCGCGCACGTGGCCTCGCTCACCCGCACACACGCGGGCGCATCCGCGCGCGCACACGCACACGCTCGCACGGCCGAGCGGCGAGGGGCGGGGCCGGGCGGGAGGGGCAGCCGGTGCCGGGCCGGGTGCCGCCAGGAGAGGGCGCGGCGCGGCGCGGCGCAGGGGAGCGCGGCTGGTGCCGGAGTTGTTGCCCGGAGCCTGGCGCCGCGAGACGCGCGCCGCGAGCCCTGCCCGCACCGGCTGCGCGAGGCGAGGCGGGGCGAGGCGGGGCGGCCCAGAGGGAGCTCGCCCCCGGTCACGCCGGCGCTCGCGAGCCGAGCGCGGCGGGGAGCGCGCCATGGACCCCAAAACAGGCGGTGGCGAGGAGGATGACTGCGTGGACTCAGGCGCCGAGACCGGAGGGTGAGCCGCGCCGGGCGGGGCCGGGCCATGGGCTGGGCGGGGCGGGGGGCGCTCTCTGAGTTGCGCTGCGGCCGCTCCCTGTCCGGGACCTTCCTGGACCCCGCGGCAGAACCCGAGCCGCTTGGGCCGGACGGGCCGCCGCTCCTGCCGGACCCCCAGTGGAAGGCAGGGGGGCTGTGGCCGGCCGGCTTCCTCCTGTTCGGTCCCCGAGGGCCGAGCAGCGTGGTGCGTAGCTGCCCGGGGCAGAGGGGGCCCCACCCCCCTGGGGGCGGAGAGGAAAGTGGAAGGACTCAAGGTTCAGAGTAAACCCCCCTCGACACACACCATCACACCCCTCCTTGCTCCCCGTTATCGCTGAGATGATGTGGAGTACCCGGCAGACGCGGTGTGCCCCTGAGATCATCGTTAGACAGGAGATGCTCTTGCACTTGTTTCGACCTTCCGCGAGGACTTTATTCGTCGAGTCCGGGTTGGGGGCTGGGGACTGGAAAAGGATATGACCCCCGACACCTAAAATTCTTTCAGAATCATATAAGGGGATGACATTTTTCAATTCATGGCTTTATTGTGCTTGCTGAGACCCGCTGCTCCACTCCTATTTCCCCGCGAACTTTTCTCTGCGCACCTGTCCCAGCCTTGGGTACAGGTGGGATGAAAATGGTGCTATGACCCAGCCCTGCTTAAAGAAATAGCCTCATCGCTTTAACAGACTCAAACAAGTAGCCCAGACCTTTATCTCTGGGGACTAATTAGCCTTCTCCCAACGACACCGTTTTCCTGAGTGGGACAAAGGACCGAGTATCTTTAAGGAGATGAATGTCATTGTAAATGCTTCCACCCAGCTCCTATCTGTAGAGGACTTCCCTGTGCAGAGTCAGCGAACATCCAGGATGCGAGTTCTGACCCCGGAGGAAAGGATGTCCTTTCCTCTCCGGAGTAACCCCGGGGGTGGGCTGGAGCTGTTCAGATTACAGAAAGCTTCGTTCCTGGAAAGTTGGGGAGATTTAGACTAATCTCGGGGCTTGTCAGCCTTGCGAGGACAGGAAGAGAGTCCAAACCCAGAATAAGCACCAGGGGCTGATCTTGTGAAAGGCTTCCTACACAGTCACTCCTGCCTGGCCAGCCCCAGCCTTACTCGCAGCCACTACCCATTCGTAACCCCAACCTGGGACTTTACACCTACAGCAGTGGGCTTTCCCTGTTACCCAAACTTGTGATCATTTATGGTTCACTGTGAAACTCACATACATTCTGGTGAAGTAACCTGATTTCAAATACTGAACTCCCGTGCCTCCCCCCACCCCCACTTAGTGTGTATGGCATTTATCAACTTTAATTGAAGATCCTTGGCTTTTCTTTTTTCCTGCCCCTAGTTAGCTAGGGCATGAATAGAAGAAAAAAGCAAAATAAACTAGCTTGTTTTCACCTGGGTTAAATAAGGCGCTAACAGGTTCATCCATTTTCAGTTTGCAGAGCTCACCTGAGACAGGTATTTTTCCCAAAGATTCTTTCCCGGGGAAGTGGAGGGGAGGCCCTGACCCAGGTGTGACCACTCCCTGGGATTCCAGTGGACAGCATGGCAGCGGCCAGGATTCCTGGGAGGGGCTTGCTGAACACACAGACACCAGAACTTCTATTCACTGTTCTGTCACTGAAGTGTGTTGTTGTAACAGAACAGAGTTGTTTACGTATTGCCTTAGTAGCATCCTTAAGCTAAAGACCAAGGTAAAATGGCAGGCCCTAAATATAAGAGTTGCGATGTATAGTTACTAATCTTGCATTTGCCTCATATTCTGTATTTCCTGAACTTTGGTTTGGTTATCAAAAAGCTGTTCATAGTGTCCTAGCTTTTGCAGAGTTTGCCTCCTCTCACCCTCTCTAGCTTTTCTATAGCTACCTGGCGAGACTATATACAAAGCATGCAGAAAGTGCTTAATGCGTGTTTGCTATCATGAGTATTTTTAAAGCACAAACCTGATTCTGTCCCTCTCCCTTCCAAACTTTTAGTGACTCTGGCGTCTGTAACCTACAAAGAGCTTAGGCTGGCCTACAAGTCCCCCCGATGTTACAGGGTCCCTGTCTGGCCTTACTTTTCGGCAGGACTGCACTTGTAGCTGCATCAAGCCACGTCAGCGAGGTGTTTCTGATTCCTTGCCTTTGTCAAGCCGCCCTTTTTGCCACCTATGTCCCTCCCCACCTGGCATGCCTGTCTACCAGGTGAAACTCTATCTTCATTCCAGACTCAGCTCAAGTGACACATCGCCTAGGGCAGGGATCATTAATTTGGGGTCCATGAATTGCTTGAAGTCTCACGCGAAAAGATGTTCTTTGTGACTTTTTATGACAAGAGGCTTCTTATCAGACGCTAGAAGTAGCCTGCGATGCCCTCCAAAGTAAGATTGGGCAGCATAGCGAGAAGTTTCATTTCCAGCATGTTGTGTCTGAGGTATTGGGAGACATCTGAAGGATGGTTGAGGATCTATGTAGACAGGGGGTCAGCATGATGCTGCTGCATTTGGGGACCATCACCCTCAAAATGGCAGTTGCCGTCCAGGAGCAGATTAAATCAACTGAAGGTAGTAAAAAGCCAACACTTACTAGCAATTACTCTGTGCCGGGTGCCGTCCGGAGCCTTTTACGTAATCCTCCAACAACGCTGTGGAGCAGGTATTATTTAAGACCAGCCTTGAGAAATGACAGCATCTAAGTGTCGGTGAAGGAGGAGGGGCTCGCAGGGGCCTGAGGAAGGGGAGGCAAGGGTGGGAAAAGGAAGAATGTGGTTTCCTACAGACCAAGGGGAAGAAGGGAAAGGCATCAACCGTGCCACTGAGAAATGCATTGAGTGAAGGAACGTGAGGTGCTCTTTTTTCAAGCGGAGGTAACGAAGGAAAGGTGGAGAATTAGACAGGAGTGGTGGAGGCAGATGCCGCGTACTCTCCTCGTGGCTCCAGGAGGGAGCAGAAGGTGCTGAAAAGGTGGTCGCAAGAGTGCTTTGTCTGAGAAAGGGAGGGGTGAGGGGAGGCAGTAAGTAGCAGGAGAGAAGCGGGGGTGCAGGAAGGATTCCCAAAACACAGGCAATAATTAGTCTCATATAAGTATGTGTTTATAGAAAAGACTCTATAAAAACTAAAGAATAAAGCTAAAGAAAAACTCATGGTTTGTATTGTCCACTTTCTGAAAAGGTAGAGATACATTGGACTTCAGACCTCTCGGTTAGAAGGGGAGAGCGCTCTCTTCTTACAACTTAGCGGGGAAGATGGGTTTCCATTCCAAGCAATTGCAACCGCCTCCCTCAGGAAAATGGAGATTTGAAATAGATATTTGGGCAATGTTGAGTGAGAACCCGACTGGGATTAGTGATTATGAATGGATGATGGTACCACTCCACCTTGCTATTTATTTTCCTGAAGCGGTGCTCAAGTCCTTCGGGACAGGCAGAGGGAGATGGTGAGTGGTTGAGATCATCAGGGTTTGGAGGAGAAGGCCTATTGCCAGACACTGTGAACAAAACATAGGAGCAAGGGATTTGGGGGTATTTGATGGAGCTGTCGATCTTTTCGGCAGCATGATCAAAGAGAAGGCTCCAAGAATTTGTGTGTCCCAATCGCCAGTGGGCACACTGTGCTGATCGCTTTGAAAGCGACAATCAGGGGCGCCTGCGTAGCTGTTAGTTAAGCTTCCAACTTCGGTTCAGGTCATGATCTCATGGTTCGTGAGCTGGAGCTCCACGTCAGGCTCTGTGCTGTCAGATCCTCTGTCCACCCCGCCCCCCCAGCCCCTCCCTGACTCACATACTCTCACTCTCTCAAAACTAAATCAAAATATAGTTTTTAAAAAGTGACAATCAAAAGAGGTTACCTTTAGTGTTCTCTTCTGCAAAATGGGGATGACGATAAAAGTACCCACCTCACAGGGTGGTTGTGAGAACAGAGTCAGGTTACTGGGGTTCAACTCTGTGCCTTTAGTGTTCTTTTCTGCAAAAGGGGGTTGACGATAAAAGTACTCACCTCACAGGGTGGTTGTGAGAATTAGACTGTACATTTAAAGCCCCTAGACCAGTGCCTGGCGTAAGCGAACCCTCCGTACATGATTTCTCATCATGCTATTACTAGTGTTGTGAACAACACTCCCAATGACTCAGAGTTGTATATAATAAAAACACATATTTTCAGGTGCACTCAAGATCATAAGCTCTTTATACTCATCACCGCGGGTGCTCTGATGTTTTTAAATGCCCTAAGCAATTTGATCATCGTTCAGAACATCTGCGAGGTGATAGGGCATGCCTCAATATTATGATGATTATTTTACAGATGAGAAAATGGAGGTTCAGAGGGTGCATGACTAGTAGTGGCCTAAATGGAAGCCTGGGTCCCTAGCAGGCTTCCCTGCTAGTGCCTCTCAAAGAGCCATTGATTTGTGGTTAATTCTTGTTTCCTGCTCAGACGCTGTCTTTTGCTTGAAATGCTATCTCTGCTGTCTGACCTACGTAGTACAGGCCAAGATGAAAGGCAAACTAGTATTCTACTGTGGCAATTGATGTCATTTTGAAGCTCTCCTTTTCCAAATGCACTTGAAAGAGCAAGATTTGTGCTTCTGTGCACTTTTTGTTAGAAAAAAATGGCAAGCCAGCTACTGATTATCTTAAGAAACAGAATCCCTTAACAGAGGGACAGGCAGTGTTGTTGTAAACCAAAATAAAAGACACAGAGTAAGATGAATGCTTTATAATGGGTGTTTCATTGGTGATGTCTCCCAGATTTGGCTCCTGAGCCACTCTTTCGAATATGGCCATTATCTGATGGGTTATTTTCTAATACTTTATAAATGTTTGTTTATTTTGAGAGAGGTGAGGGAGGGAGAAGCAGAGAGAGAGAGACAGGATTCGAAGCAGGCTGTGTGCTGTCAGCACAGAGCCCCACATGGGGCTCGAACTCATGAGCCGTGAGATCATGACCTAGGCTTAAGTGGATGCTTAACTGTCTGAGCCACCCAGGTGCCCTGGATTCTTTTTGTTCAGAAGTTTGATGTGGCACGAATGAACCCTACTTCCATGTCACCCGTCACAGCTTCTGAAAACATAGTCACACCATACCCTTTGGATGACCTCCACCTGATATTTCACTGTGATTTAAGAGATAGCAAACAATTCACAGGTCTACCGTTTAGAAGCAACTGAATGCGAAAGGATGGGGGGAATAAATTTGAAGATGGGACAGGTTTAGAGAACAGGAAAAGGTGAAATCTTGCAGAGAAACAGGATGATCTATTAGGCACTCTATTATCTTTGTGTTGAAGGTGGAGCTAGTTAGCTCTAAATTACCATGGCATCTAATTCAATGGGCTGAGAGCTAACAGATGAGATCCATGATGCATTGAGCTGATGTTTTAGAGAAATGTCAAGATCAATATTACTGAAATGCCAAGATCAATTCTTACGCCAAGATTTTCTTGGAAAAGAGAATTCAAGAAGGTATATGGCTTAAGACAGTAATAAGCTGTCTTAAGTACAGACCCTTTTATATATAACCCCTATAGGCATATAAAATACAGTGAAGGGACTGCATCTAACTTTCGGGTCATTATTGGCACAGATACTAAGTACAAGTAATATTTGCAAATGTGTCTCCTATATGTGTCAGATGTGTGAAAATATACAGTCCTTGCATTGTTCTGCTTATCTGTATCATGTGCCCATGCACTTTTCTTCCTAAAATTCATAGATCCTTTCGTGCCTTGTTTTTGCAGAGTTGAATGTCTTGTGCAGAATTAGGATGTGAGACCAGTAAACGGGATTCACAAGGTCCCCTTCTGCTGTTCCCACTTACCTTAAAACAGCTGGGGATAATCGACCCCTCCGGAGAACTGCGCTCAAGATCTGAAATTGTTTGAACCCGTTTAAGCACAAAATTGTTTTAAGCTTTACTTTCGCCAGCAGTATTTCCAGTAAATAATCTCTTGGAGTTATTTGCAATGTATTTTTTGAGCTGTAAAAGTGTCCATACCTTGACTCAGTTCCTGTATCCCCCTCATGATAATTTTTCTAAGGAAAAGAAAGTAAACCTCAAGCTATATTTATAAGTGTCTCACACCGTATGCCCTGCAGAAGTGAACAATCAGAAACAATCATACAGCAAAGACAAGGCAAATGGTTGAATAAACTATAGTACATCACTCTATCTAAAATTATAATTACAGGAACTATAGCAACATGTTGTGATGGCATTTGGTGAAAAGAGTGGTTTCAGATTGTATCTCCATCTTTATGGCAACTGTGTGCAAATTACACGAACAAGATCAGAGGCCAGAGGGCAATGTGAGGCGTTAGGTGACTTTTCTTCCCGTTTTATTTCCGTTGTGATGGTGGACAGGGCTGGGGTGAAGGGTCAGTGCAGAGCTGGGCAGAGGCCATCATTCACAGGAGGAGGGGTTGTGTTGTACACTGTTGAGCTGGAACTTCATCCACAGAGTGACGTGATCAGGTTTGTGCTTTGCAAAGACCGGCTGCTGTTTGGGGAAGGAAATGGAGTAAGTCAAGAGTGAAGGCCGTGTCTTTCATCACAAGAGATACATAGAGGTGCATGGCCGGGACCTGAGTTATGCAAGCACCTATCCTAAAACTGCTGCTGTTACACCTTAAGATGCTTGAAATAGGTGTCACATGTAAGTTCCATTCTGCATCCATATCCGTCTGTATGCAGATCTTTAAAATGTATGCACTGTGAAACTTGTCTGCCTTAGGGGTATTTGGAAGCTCCTAGTTGAAAATACAGATTTTTAATACATAGTCCAATCATGCATTGCCATTGAATGCTACATTTGAATTGTCATGAAATTTCTTTAAAGCCTGACCATCGTAAAATGATCATATTGGATTGGGATTGTTTGGTCATTGCAAAAGCTTGCGGAGCATTGGTTGCATTCATATACAGTTACATTTCTTTTTTTAAGTTTATTTATTTTGACAGAGAGCAAGCAAGAGAGTATGCATGCAAGAGGGCAGAGAGAGAGAGAATCCCAAGCAAGCTCTGCCCTGTCAATGCTGACCTGGGGCTTGATCTCACAGACCAGAGATCATGACCTGAGCTGAAATCACGGAGTCCAATGCTTAACTGACTGAGCCACCCAGGCGCACCTACAGTTACATTTCTAAGTTTTGTCTTAAAGCTAATTTATGTCCTGCTCAGTTCCAGGAAGAATTTAATGTCCCAACGCTGGGGTTACTGATCCCGACTGTCCTCTCTGGCATTTTGCTCAGCCAGCGTGTCCCCATGCCCGTGCTAATCCTTACACCTTTCAGTTTCTGACTTGCCATCAGCCTGCACTGGTACTTCAAGTCCTTATCATTGCCCACCTCCTGGTCTCCTCGCCAATAGTAGCACTTTAGTTTGCTAACCAATAATGTAAGAAATTGGATTCAGTGTAGGCGGATGCAGTTTGTAATACATAAAGGGATATGCAAATGTTAGTAGTTGCTATTCTCTCCAGCTTGAAAATTCAATGATTCTGTAACTGCTAAAGCATTTCATTTGAAAGGAGAAAACTCCATGCATTTTTTCTTCCATTTTGTTCCTCTACCAATAAGTCAGTGCATCATTTTGCATGAGAGACGTAGGTTATTTTAACTAGTAAGAGGTGTGCTTTTTTATGATTTTTTTTGAAGTTTTGTATATACTTTGTTGATGTGGTAACAGTCAGTGGAGTGAAAATGGGATGAATTAAGAAAGGCAACATGAGACTAAGTAAAAGTGTGTATGTGGAAAATGAAATATAATTAACTATTTTATTTGCATAACCATGTCCCCTAACTACCACCTTGCCTAATAAATCCCTACGTGCCTGAGAGATTAATTTCCTACTGAGAATGACTTTGGGACACTGGGGGGAGAAGACCGAGGACTTGTATGCCATATACGTTGCCAGAGAGGGAAGGCTTCCCAGCCACACAAGTAGAGCAGAAACTTCGTTGAGATTAAGCAGGCAGATCCTTGGCCAGATTCCCGTTCTCCCAGAGGCTGAGTGCCAGGAGCTGGTCTTTCAGCCTAGAAACTGATGGGTAATTTCACCCTGGCCCCAACCCTGCCTTTTCCCTTTCCCTATCACAGCCCACATCCTGTTACTCCAATCTGCAGAAGGATTTCTTCTCAGCTGGAACTGAAATCAGTCAAACATCATTATGCCTTTGTGTTTCCTGATGGCCAGCCAGACCCTGACTGTGGGAGCCCTCACAAGCCAGGGTCTGTTCGCGCTGCCACCAGGCTCCGTCACTGCTCTGCTGATGGCAGCACAGACATTTCCCCGTGGTGTGGAGCTCACCTGAAGGGTGCTTATGTGCAGAGGTCTAACCTTCTGGGGAGTCATGAACCCCTTCGAGAATCTGTTGAAAACTTTGAACCTTCTCCCCAGAAAAATAAGCTTCCATTCAAAAACTTGCCAGCGGATGTAGATGGTTCGGGACCCAGCTGGTCTCCCATCTTGGAGATTCAGGGAGCCTACATGAAGGACCCCCACTTTCTAAAATGCCTTTAGGGCCACCTGGGTGGCTCAGTCAGTTGAGCGCCCAACTTCGGCTCAGGTCATGATCTCACAGTTCGTGAGTTCAAGACCCATGTCAGGCTCTCTGCTCTCAGCTCGGAGCCTGCTTTGGATCCTCTGTCCCTGCCCCATCTCTGTCCCTACCCTGCTCTCTCTCTCTCTTTCTCAAAAATAAATGGGAAAAAAAAGTTTAAAGTTTTGCCTTCACATTGAGACATAACTTTATTTTGCGCAAAATCCCTCTGCACTAGTCTGATTTGTGGCATTTCCTTACCATTTAAATGGCTACTTACCACTATAAGACTTATTTTTATTCTAGCATGAAGAAATCATTTGGATAAGGAAAAGTAATGTCAAAAAAAAAAAAAAAAAAAGAATGTCTAATCCTACTAACACTAAGGTTTTGTGTTTCAGGTCTGACTACAGCCACATGTCCTCCACCAGCAGTAAGTATGGTTTAATGTCCTTCAGCACTGGCTTCCCAGCCCCACCTGTCTGTGTAACCCAGGCTCTAACAGAAGAATCTCCCAAGGTATCGTTGCCAAAGAGTGTGATGAGGATCCTCTGACTCTGAAAGTCGGGGCGTTTCCTGGAGATTTTAATTGTACCTTGGTTTCAGAACTAACCAGCTCTAAGAAATAATTAGTTCTTAAATTCTCCAGGAAACGCCCCGACTTTCAGAGTCAGAGGATCCTGTATTTGGTTCTTTGGCAAGGACGTTCTTTGGGCAATTCTTCTGTTAATGCCACTACTTTTCCTTTGGAAACTGAGCCTAGAGGAACTAGCCCAGGCTTTGTTAGGATGATGAATGCTTCTAAAACAGCTTCTCTGAATAATCTAAGGTTACTCATTCATTCAACAAACATTTATCAAATTCCTGCAGCCCAAAGGCTAACAGTGCAGAGCACCCATGGGGTGGCCTCAGTTCATCTGTTGGGTCCATGTCCTCCCTTGTAGCTCTGTATGTGCAGGCAGATGTCATAGATGATTATCCTATGTGGTTAAAAAAAAAAAGTGATTGGGAATATGTTTATAAACACACTGTAAGCACAGAAAAACATGCCTGTATTAAATACTAATTTACAAGTAAATCTATTCATGGGAAATGAGGCCTTATATCTAGGAACAATTTGTAGTGATTAGGATCACTACATAAATGACCAGAGCCATTCAGATTAATTAAACACCTATTTTAAAATAACAAAAAAAAATTGCCTTACAATAAAAGCGCTGATTATTTGAATCAGTAAATACTGAATTGTTTTTCCTGTCTTACTTCCCTGTTAAGCCTCAATTCTAAATAGTACCCAAATGGAAGGCCACTTAATTGGATTATTCTATTTATTGATGTACTGGCTTCGTTTTCCTTTGCAAAAAGAGACTGTGCAGAAAGCTGTATTTCTGGAATTGTAATTTAGTGTCAAATTACATTTAGTTATTAGTATAACTGCAGCGAATAATCTCTGAACATTTTAGCCAACTGGAGACCCAACATTGCCCCTTAGTTATTAAGAACCATTAGTAATAATGAGAATAATGCTCCAGTGATTTGCATTCCCTCCCGAAGCTTCTGCCTTCCTACCAATCAGGGAAGGCTCTCTTGAACTCTCTCTCTCTGCTGCCATTCTCATTCCACTCAGTTTTGCCCAGAAGCTACATTTCTTTAAGAATGATTTTTATGAAATACTTGCCTACAGCCTTTGCTCAATTTGTAGCTCTCCAATCAGCCCTCTGGGTCACAACAAAGCACCTCTCTTGTCAGCAAAACCGGTAATTTGGTTTGGGAGGCTTTCGTCTCCATTATTTTAATTGCGATCTCTGAGTTGGAATTTCTCTTAGTGCAACTGGGATCAATAGCTGTTTATTGCTCTTCCTTTTCTCTTTAAATATTTGGTGATTCTTGCCTCAGTCTTCAGTGTTGGGACCTCTCGGTAAGTGAGGATGTGTATGCATTTCATATTTTAGTTAGGAAATGTATTTGGCTATAAATAAGGAAAATAAATGACTTAAGTAGGCATTTGTTTTCCTCTAACATTAAAAAAAATGCTCAGAGGAGGCATAGCAGGTCTGATAGGAAAGCCCTTTTTATGGTTTTGCTTGGCTTTTGGCTTCGGTCCTTAGGGTTGCCTCAGAGTTACAAAATGGCTGCCTCTGCCGAAGGCATCACATTCTTGTTCTGGGCAGGAGCAAGGGGTGAGTAGATACTGCTGGGCCCTTGGCTATCTGTGCCTAGTGATTGCCTGGCCTGCCTTTCTTACCAGCCAGAAGCATAAATCCTGGCCCTACCCAGATGTAGAAATAGTCCTCTTTAGCAGTCAGTGAAAGGTAACAGAGTGGACCCTTTCTGAAAGGGGAAAAAAAATTAAGTCTGAAGTCTTAAATCTATCCTTTAAAAAACAGCTTTGACGGTGCTACAGTAATAAAAAATATTTTCCAAGTAGATGTGAAAACATCATTGTCCCATGAACTAGATAATCACATTCAGAGGACTGAGTAGAGAGATATTTACTGCCCAATCTGAATGATCCAGTTCCAAGGTCGCTCCTTGTCATGGCCCATGGCTCCTTGTCAGGACCCACAGAGCTGACTGGCCCCAGGTCCCACTTGTCCTCAGAGCCGCTCCTGTATCTCAGTCATTCCCCTCCCCTTGGGCGTCCTCTCAGAATGGCTCAGTTCCGAATGATTCCTGGCTGGGATCTGAGCATTGGTTCTAACCATTCACTCTTAGGAAGTGGATTTTTCTGTCTGCTAGTGGTTCCTGGTCAGCAGTCACATGATTAGTCTTTTACCCATTCGCTCCTGAGTTCACGGGGGCAGAACTTTTGTGGGCTGAGCTAGGGTTAGGGTTGGTTTGTCCATGGTCAGGTTTCGTCATTGCTAGAATTGGCAGGAAAGCTTCCTCCAAGAACAGCAGTTGCTATTTAGGTGTTCTCTTTTCCCTCAGAATGCGGGGCTGTTTCCTCATGCTGCCTGCCCCTGACGGGAGGAGAGGAAAGGTCATCACCAAGAGAAAGTACAAGAGCGGAGGCTTCTAGAAAGTACTTCTAGAGTGGAGTCTGGGAGGGCATGTGGCTCATGGGCATTCTGTTTTTCCTTGACCTCAAGGATCATGACATCACATTTCCATTGGCTGTTTTTGATGCCTCTTCTCAGGTCTGGGGGGATGCGGCTGAGGAGGCTTCTTTTAATGGATAGTTTTGTTTTGTAAATTGGGTAAGTGTAAGTTTGGGTAAAGTTTTTTCTACCTGCAGTGGGTCCCTTTACCTTTTTTAGATTGACAGAGCTGACAAGGTTTTCCTTCATGCTTTCGGCAAAGCTAAATGCACTGTTAACACTCAGATTTCAATAAATCATAATACTTCCTAGAAAAGATGGATTTAATTTATACTCTCAGAATTTTAGGTGGTTTTTCCAGAAACCTGGTTAGAAGATCATCAAGCCACTGTGTACAATTTGCATTCTTAAGTGACTTAAATAAAAAAGAAGTTTTATAAACAGGATAAAATAAAAACAATAATTATGCCAGGAGAAGAAAATCAACTACTCCACGTAATGCTAATGAAATTCCCATCATGTATGATTGAATATTTTCATTCAAATAAAGATTATAATCATAGTTGGAGAATTATTCTCAAAATATGCTGGGAGCTTAAAAATGGTATTTTGAGGACAGTGTAGCATGTCTTGAGGATCTGTAGCCCAGGGATAATGCCAGTAGGAGGTGCTCAAAGAATTCACTACTTCTCCTTATTGAAGACTGTTCTCCAAGAGCCTCCTCTATTTGCCCTCCTAACTTGTGCCTTAAAACTGCTCCTTCTCAAAATTCAGGTAGGAGTCATTAACTCTTTACCTTATAAACTGCCAGTGGCAGCAGAAATGCCTCACAATTTCGTGCCACTTCATACCTTTCAAAATGCAAACGGTAGAAGATCTGCTGAAGTGATACAGAGGCCCTTGGCAATGCCCTGAGGACTTCGCCGTATCTGAAATGATGGAGAAATGGTCATGAACAGCGTGTTCTGCTGATGTGAGCCCGGGACCGCAAACCAAGCTATGTAAAAACGGGACACATCATGGGGTGGGCAGGAGTCACGGAATCCGTTCTGCAACCCACCCAGGCCTCAGATTCCAGCCCTCCTGTTGTGGCCCACCCCCACCCCCGCCCCCAGCCTCTTACCCCGCTTGCTTTTCCTAGCCCCCTGCTGTGTCCTTCCAATGACTCAGGTAGCTTCCTAGATTCCTGCCTGCACTCTCCTGCTGGCCCTGAGCCCCCCAGGCTGTAGGTCCCGTGGAGTTCTGTCCTCCAAGCTTTCCTTTCCTGGGTCGCCATGTCTGTGACCAGATGCCACAGGCCCCTGGACACAACCTCTTCTTGAGGACAAAGGGTCAAGTGGTTGCAGGCATTTTTCAAATAGGAAAGTCAGGCGTCTTCAGTTCATTGCAAGGCCTCGTGGCTGGTCTAGAGCCACGGCAGCGGCTTGTGGGGCCTGCGTCCCTGCTGCCTGGGAGATCCTTCATCCCCTCCCAAGGCTGCCTCGTCTCACATAGATACCATCTTCTCCCTTAAATTTCTTCATAGTCTCATCGTTTCCTTGACATTTGAGGATATTGAAATATCCCACGTTTTAATTTTATCTTTGGCACATCAGCACGGAAAGAAAGGTCAGCTCATTGTGATTTAATTAGTAAACAAAGGTAAGGAGCTTTGGAAGCGATATACTGAAAAGGCATGATTGTGTTCTGTGGAACTTGCTGCCGGTGGGGAAGGTTGAAATAAAAATGACCTGTAGCCTGTATCCAAGAGCTAACTTCAGACTTTGGGATCATGAAATGTTCATTGTTTTCTTTCTAACTTAACTTAGACAAGATAAGTTATTGAAAGATTGACGTTTAGGGGCGCCTGGGTGGCTTAGTCGGTTAAGCGTCCGACTTTCGCTTGGGTCATGATCTCGCGGTTCGTGGGTTCGAGCCCCGCATCGGGCTCTGTGCTGACTGCCGGCTCAGAGCCTGGAGCCTGTTTCAATCTGTGACTCCCTCTCTCCCTGACCCTCCCCTGCTCACGCTGTCTCTCTCTCTCTCTCCTAGAAATAAATAAAACATTAAAAAAAAATAATTTAAAAAGAAAGATTGACGTTTAAAGAAGCCAGTTGCGCAGATAAGGACAGTCAGTATCTTAGAGGAGGTGATACTAGCCAATTTAACTTGAATCTGTTTGTAAATTTCATAGTTTTCATTTTTTTCTTCATACAATATTTTCCCCATTATGGCTTTCAGAATAAACACATGTTCTTGTAGGGTCTTATTTCCTAAGATCTAGACAAAACCCAGCTCTCTTCATTAATCCTTATAAAGAACAATTTTAGCCATTGCATGGGCATAATTTTGTGACCAGCGTGAAGTTGGCAATGTGTACAGGTTTGCAAAGAGACTAAAGCATCAACCTTTC